AACCCAAATATTTCAGTACACAAAACTTTTCTATATCATTTGATATTAGCATTTTTATCACAATGTAGGGAACTCCAATTGCAGAGGAAAATGAAAATTACGTCTATATTACTCTATTCCATGAATAAGTTGAGCAAGTGTATATATCTGTGAAACTCATAGAAGTTTGTGATGTAATTTCTGCAATGGGGATAACCTTTTGGTGAACAGAAATCACGATGAGAGGGGTGGATGACCTGGAGAAGCTGCCCAATGTATGGCTTGAAAGTATATCTTTTTTTTTTCCCTATCATCACACGAAATAAATTATTCAATGTGCTATTCAAATCATATTAAATCTAGAGAGTTAAGAGTAAAAAGTCGGTACCAGTTGATGACTTCATTGCTTGTGAATAAGTAGGATCTATGTGTGTTGTCTAGTTGAATCTCGTCTGCACCGATAAATTTGTATGTGAAGCTTATCTGCATAATGTCCAATATCATCACCATACACAACTATCCTAATTTGTTTCTCATGTAAAGTTTAATAGCTTTTTGAGAGATGTGAGGAAGTAATATAATTATGCAAAGAAAATTAGATGTCATTACTATACGTGAAAATACCTCATCGTCTTCCAAAATTAGATTTTGGAATCTGATTCTCTATCTGATTCTCCGGACTTTCTCGCCATTTGGCTTCACTGATTACAACACAAATCCAAAGAAAAACATTCTTTTCTATATCATAAAAGTGAACAGATGGAGTACGAAGTCAACTACAAAAAGTTGTACCTCTGCAACATTGCAAGTATCTTAGGCTTAAGTAGAGTGAGCTTCAAACTCAAAGAGCAAATTATAAGAAAAAATGGGGAAAAGGCACTAAATGGGATGATGTGCAGCTCAGGCATAATGACATGCATGTATATATCTAGCAAGAGATTATCTGAAAGAGTAAAAAACTAAAATTAAAGCAAAAAGGCACAAGCATTCAAAGAAATTTAGAAGTAATAGGTATAAAACCAGTGAAGAAAGGCAAAAAAATTCTGGGCACCACCATACATGAGAGCATACGCGGTATAACAAATCCACAATTTCTTCAATTCAAACTTTTAGCATCTCAAATAATGAGTAAAGCTTAATATTCTCGGATAACAAATGGAAACAGACTCTCAGCATCTCAATATAACAAGCTCCATCTTGAAATTTAGAATCACAATCAAACTAAACTAATGGAGTTCCCTATTAAATTTTAACCAGTCCTCTCAATTTGAGGGATCCTAAAGTAGAACATGCAGGTAAAAAAAAATTGACAATAAACTAATCAAAAATCAATTAGAAAATCGCCAAAGATTTGGATTCAAAATTTCCAACAGAAACTACATCCGTAGAAACAAAAATTAGGAAAAACAGAGGTGAGAAAGAATAAGACAACCAAAATCTTTGAAAGAAAAAATCACAAATTTTACCATTACCACGAACATTAATCATAAACGATCTTACCTTTAGACAAACATAGATTTGAGAGTTGTAATTGTAAAACAATTGATCTAAGTGAAAAGGCAAAGAGGGAAAAGACAGAAAGTTGGAGAGAGAAAAAGTGGCCATCTGGGTATTAGGAAAAGCGGCAAGTGCTTTGGTATACGCATAGTTTGCAGGAAAAAAAGAACACGTGTTAAGCAAAAAGGCCTCTGAAAAGTAAAAGTTGATTCATAACCAATAAATAAGTACACGCTTACAGTACAACTAAGAAAACCTTGGGTACAATATGTAATTGCACTGTTCGTCCTATCCCAACTCCCACTTCTTAATAAGAGTAAAATATTTTTAAAAATTAAAAAGTTGACACGTACATATTTCCAAATGATGACAAATGTTTATATTTTTTTTAATAATTTATTATTTTAAATGTAAAAAGAGAGAATAACTAAGAAGATGACACGTGTATATTTAAAACTGATTTGAATTTTTTTCACGGATTGTTGTGTATATAATTAATTGTTAATTGATTTTTAAAAGCAAAAAATGTGAGATTAATTGTGGTGCTGACACCTAATCACTATCACCTCTCCTATTATATATACTAGTATTCGTACCCGCGCGTTGCGCGGA